CCGAAGCAATGAACTTCTCCGAATCAATCAGAGAGGTCTACGGTTCCACAAAGAAGGTGACCGCGCCGCTTCTCAGTTCCGTTTTAAGAAAACTCCTGACGGAAAAGTCGCAGATTCCGAAGCGCTGGGCCGAGACCCTCAAGAGTGAATCGCGATAGACTGTGGAAAATCCTGTGGAAATTCTGCTGTCCCTTGTGATTTACGTACATGATGCGTCAACTCCACAGAAATTGGGACCGTCTCAGAAGCATTTGTACTAACCAACGGAGTGAACCAAGGCTGCGTACTCGCCCCAACTCCCTTTAATCTCATGTTCTCTCCCATGCTGATGGACGCCTACCGTGATGAACGCCCCGGGATTGGCATCGCCTACAGGACTGACGGGCATCTGCACAGTAGCCGGAACATGCAGACCTCAACGCGGTCATCTACGAGTACAGTCCGCGACTTGCTCTCTACGGACAACTGTGCACTCAGCACCACGAGCGAGGAGGACAAGAAAAGAAGCACGGACCTCTTCGCCGCCGGATGCGCCGATTCGGACTAACGATCAAAACATGCAAAACGGCGATCACGAACTAACCGTCACTCCGTATGGAATACAGCATTCCTCGAATCAATGTCAACGGCAGTCACACCAAGACCGTAGAAAACTTCGTTTATCATGAAAACACACTACCGCGCAGCACAAAATGGACGATGAGGTTGCTCATCGGGTCTTCAAACACAACCATGGCTTCGGCCGGCTACCGAACTCCGTGTATAGTCGCCACGGTCCTCAACTTAACACCAAATTGAAGATGTACATGGCCATCGTCCGGACGACATTTCTGTACAGAGTGACGACCTGAGCCGTCTAATTCAATCAAGACAGGAAGCTGAACCACTTCCATCTCAGCTGTCTACTCCGAATGCAGTGGCTGAGATGGCAGGACAGGATTCCGGACAGGACTGTAATCGACTGGAATTCTCAGCATCTACGCCGTGCTGAGACAACCGAAACTGCGATGGAGCGCCGAAGATGGCCGATGAGCGATTACCCTAACAACTCTTCTACGGAGACGACGCTACGGCTGCTCGCCGACCAGGAGGACCAAAACGACGTTACAAGGACACATTGAAGAATTCTCTTAAGCGATTGCATATCAATCCAAGGAGCTGGGAGTATCTCGTCCCGAAGAGACCGGCCTGGAGAAGGGCAGCGAAGACTGGCACAGCAATCAACGAAGCAAACCGGATCGCCGCTGCCAAAACCAAAAAGGGCTGGTCGCAAGCCACAAGCGTCCCAGATCCATGACGCCAGCAGCCAACCGCTTCCAACATGCACATTCCGCGCACGAATCGGCCTCGTCGGACACTTTCAGACGCAATGCAATAACAACCCAGCAACATCCATTTCTCCTTTCATGGACACTCGTACTATCACCCTTTGCCTAAAACCCCATGACGACAACCACCCCGGCGATCACACTGCTGGTGTCCAACCACTCTCAGTCACAAACATCATCCTCCCTATCCCAACTCCTGCGTCGATCATAGCGGTCAGCCTCGCCAACACCACCCCTCTCTCATTCCCCCAAACTAATGAGGTGACACCCGACATCCCGTCAACATCACCGTCCCCACCGCCAGCAATGAGGACTACATTCCGACCTGACCAATTACGATCGCACATATACCTCGTGCATCGGCCTGGTCGCCCACTTGCGGGTCCATAGCACTGTGGCGGGTGCACCAGTGCCCAGAGTCTCGACACACCCACTCAACTGCCCGCACCGCACACGCACATTCATTCACCCCATGGTCCTATTGAGTCACGTGCACCTTCATGAAAACCCGCGGTGAATCACCGCAGACACGACCACATCACCGCACATCATCCCATTAACACATGCATCACGCATACATCCCTTCAACATTCCACACTACCGGCACCTCTTCCATAAGAGGTTAGTGTGTTTTTCGGCTCCTTTCCCATATGACTCCCCTGCCGAATGTGAAATTTCAGCATTCTTTCCCTTTGTGTGTGAAATACTTTTTTGTGCACTCGGGATGCCAGGTCGTGCGTGTAGCGCGCGCAGACGGGTTTTTTATCTCTGTCAGCCACTGCGCCCACTTCCTAAATCAGACATCTAACTGGCTCAAACAGTGGACTGTTGTCTGGGAGTGGGAAGAGGGAATGGGGTCGACGGTTTCAACGCACATCCTTCACTATGAACAGTCTGACGCGCTTGAAACTATGGGGATACGCTAAAAACCGTGGTGTGGAATGTTCCTACCTAACTCGGACCTCTCAGACAACCCAGTGTGTGCTTCAATGGATTAGACGACTGGTGGACTAACTGTCAGGCTTCAGTGGCTCCTTGCTACTGTGGCCCCTATGGCGGCCCACTCAGTGGCATCCAAGCCGGTGTTGTGGCACCCCTAGGTGCCGGTTTCTACAGTGCTAACCGCCTGTGCCCTCTCTCACTTCAGATATTCTTGACTCTGCCATGACTCCGGACCCAGGAGAGGGAGGAGAGAAGAGTGTGTTCGGCGCTGCGCAAGTTCACCACTACTAAAAACTAATTCATGCACAAGGCGCCGTCCCTGTTCCCACCCTGAAGTGGAACCCACGCTGAACATTCAGGCTGCGTTGGTTCGTTCTTAACGGCAGTCTCTCACATATGTGTGCCTAATCCTGGTTTGTGCACTTGGGATGCCAGGTCGTGCATGTAGCGCGCGCAGACGGGCTTTCTAGCTCTGTCAGCCACTGCGTCCACTTCCAGCACCAGGCATTTGGCCGGCTCGGACAGTGGTCTGGTGCTTGTGAGTAGGAAGAGAGAGAGGCGGAGGTCGACAGCCTCGGCGCATATTCCTCACTATAAACAATCTGACGTGCTTGAAGCCATCATGATGTGCTAAAATTAGTGCCCAAAATGGTTGCCAACGCACGAGATAACTCGAACTTCGCAGTCGGCCCAGTTAGCGCTTGTGGCGGACTGACAGTCAAAGTACAATGGCTCCTTCTTAGCGTGGCCTTTATGGCACTCCCACCCCCTGAGACCCAAGTCGGGTGTAGCGACCCGCCTATGGGCGGCTCTGGCCGCGCCAGCCATCGGCACCCTCTCACACCCGCGGTCTCTTTGATTATGTCTTAAGACCGGGCCTAAATGGAGGAGGAGGAGGAGGAGGAGGAGGAGGAGGAGAGTGTGTGGCGGATGTTATCCAAGTCTGCTATAACTGTAAACTAACTCACGCGCAAGTCAGCATGCCTGCTCTCATTCTGCTGCGAAGCACACGGTGAACATCGTCTAAACCGACGGTTCAACTGTCGTGTGCGTATGTGCCAGTCAGCCGTACTGTTTGCGTATCCTACGAGAATAACGAGTTCATCTTCAGAAAAGTGTCTGCGCTAACGTTGAGTAAACGGAGGTGAGTTGTCAGAAAGCCCAGAACCAATCGATCCGTCAATGCCGATTGGTATTCACACTGCCTGAAAACAGGTACCCCAACAGGAAGACGAAGTGGGAACTTGCTTCACCAGCTGCATGCATTATCGATTATTTGCTCGGCCGGCGACCGGACACCGGGTATCTCCGGGGTGAATGAGCGTCCACTGCAAACGCAGGAGGCGACTGTTCGCTCCTGTTCTACGGTTGTGACAGTTTCATTTTCTCGTAATGGTTTGCAATAAAACTGCCTTTATTTGAATTGGAGACCGCACCGTAAAAGCTATCATGGCAACCACAGAAAGGAAAGACTCATTTAAAAGACTGCGTTTTGTGGGGGACGCGGCAAACGACCTAGTAAGACGAAACCTGAAGACAGCGATCACTAACGCCTTCCCCGCGATGAATTTACGCGTATAATTCACGAACTCTCCCCTCCTACGCTTGGGAGGTGAAGACTATGTACCTTTGCTGGCCACGTCGATGTGAATTTACTCGTTCACTTGCTCCTCTGGCCGCACAACGGCATGCCTAGAAAAGAGAGTATGTGAACACATACCGACCTGGCTAGGCAGAGTTCTATTTTCGCACACCTTGTTGATACGTATCACCGAGTCGATGCCAAAGAGGCCCTTCGGGTCGTCTACCGGGCACCAGAAATCTTCTCCAGAAGACTAGGCCAATGATGTTATCTACAGCTGACGCAGTGGCTATACGGCTAGCGAATCCAGTGCTACGTTTTCAGAAGAAGTTGACACAGCCGTTGGTCTTCCGTGGCCAACGCCGACCCCAGATGGTTCTTACACGCCGTCCACATGCCCGACTAACAAACATCGATCACGGCCCATGTCACCCTCCCCCCTTGCCCCAGTGACCATAACACGCCGACCTTGTCATGCGTTTCTAGCCCCTGAATCATTTATAAATCCTATGAACTTCGCATATTTTCAATTTCGATGTAATTACATTGGACTAATGGTGAGTTACCAAAAACACATGTTTGTCAAATTTACTACTTAAAATATTCGACCGATTGCTGTGTCCCAGAACCTGCCCCCTGCAGGTGGGAAGTTTTCGCCATAATTTCAGCTGACCGGAAAATAGCTTTGTCTTCAGAGTCGCATGCGGAATGTCCTAATACAGCAATCAGTCAAAACCTCAGACGATCTATTGCTTGTACAAATTCATACAATAACCGTACACAGCCGCTGTAGTGGTGTTCTGAAAGTGTACATTTGAAAAAAATTGAAAGGCCTGCAACTCAGTTACAAGAGACGGGGGACGGTGAAAGGCATGAAAGCAGAGTAGAGCAGGTCTATCCAAATACCCTGGTTTCACGCAAAATTACCGTCAAGGTACGGCTTCAAGTCATGCACAGCACGGAGAGAGGTGGCAAAGCGCGACTGGAATTGCAATGAGGGGGTGTCAAAAGCTACTCTGGGCGGAGTTTTCGCGGACGAAACTAGGCAGTTTGGAGAGACGTTGCTTAATAACTGAGATCAGATACCAGATCCGCTCTGGAGGCCACCACATCAAGCCCCTGAGACGCGCTGAGGTAAAGTCAAAGGACTACGCCCTCTTGTCCTTTGGCACATGTCCGTTCGATTCTTCCTCCTCGCGAATGTCCTCGAGCCGGCTTGACTGACCCATCACGAGACGGAAAGCCATTCGAAGTATAAACTAGAAAGGCAGAGCAGCTCTGTCAGTGCTAGCAGTGGTGGCCGACATATACTCACCAAGTGTTAGTAGTAAGAATAGCAAAAAATAACGTACCCAGCCCCATACAAGATGCATTGTGAAGAGTGCCACAAGAAGGAAATTGAAAAGGAGATAGAAATTCATAATCATGAAATCACGCTTCAGGTAAGCACACCAGTTGACGGCGTGAAGCAGATGCAGTGGGAAGAGGTAGATCCGCAGGTAGAACCTGAATATTTTCACAAAGGCATCGTGGTCAGGTGACTGAAGGGTGTTATACAAAGTCAAGATGCACCAAGGTAGTCATTTTTCCTTTTTGTTCGTCGAATGCAGTAATTCTGCAGACAAGGTGCCTTAAGTCAAACACTCTGGCAAGCCCTGTCAGCAGAGACTAGAAATATCCAAGCTGACGACAGTGGCGTTTGTCCATCTGTCCTGGCTATAAGACGACACTGAGCACTTCCATTGTGCCCCTAAATTCCACGACTACAACGCGCACCCTAATCGCATGACGGTCGACGACCGTATTCTTTAATTGTAAGACACCCTAACTTGGACTGGACTAACGCTAGGCTATGGTGTCAAATATGCATGAGGGGGCTAGTAGGAGGCCTCTGTTTGTTTCGGGAACACTCCTTGATTATTAGTTATTAGGCGACATGGGAGAGCCTACTTGGCCCTACATGCAAAGTTCCAGAGGCAGACGCAAATGCCAATCGCTAATCCTCAATTGGTTGGTTAACGCAACTCCATTATAATGCATGTAACAAGAGCAGTTTTTGGTCCATTACGCAGTATAATGTTGCACGAAGACCTGGTTGTAGAACAGGTGTAGACACTGCCCATGGATGTATATCGGCTAGTGGTGAAATGGGCTAGTAAAGGGGGAACTTAGATATGTTTGACGAATGCGTTGGGAGCAGAAGCCAGATAAGACAGGCGTTCGTCAGACTATCCCAATCACAAGACGAGATCCGCATGCGCCATGTCGCCTTCTAGCAAGAGCTCTATAGCTCAGCTAGGCCATTGCATATCAACAAGCGACAGAACATCAAAAAGTGTTACAGAAAATTATTACTTAGACGGGAAACGTCATTTCTGGTATGTCAGTCCCCACCCCGGATGCCAGTGCCCTGAGATGGATGGGATGTTTTGGATTTAGGCATCCAATGGCACCATAGTTCACACCTCAGTTGCACCAAAGGGGTGGTGAGTGTCCGAATGCCCTCCATATTGGCGACGTACTAGCGAAGCCATATTGCAAAGAAACTAACTTAGGACTAATTAATGACACACTAAAAAACGGACTGGCGCTGCACTACCGAGAGCATTCAGAAGAATTAGCACGCGGCACAACATGGTGCATTACACGGTCCGAAGTATGGCTTTTAAAACAGACTGCAAAAAGGACCGATACGTGGTATAGTGGAAATTTTCACGTTTGGCATGCATTTTCGTCGAACAGTAAACTTCTACTGACTAAGAGCACATGAAACGGATGCAGCGGAACTGCGAGATGAGTTCAAGCCTAGGAGAAGTCTCCCAACTCAAAAACTGTGTCGAAGACATTCTGCAGCGGACGTACTAAGCAGTGTTAACGGGTAAATCGGCAGAGAGAACCTACGTTTGGCAATAAAACGGAAGATAATAAAAAAAAAATCTCGTCCAGATGTCCTGGGAAATATTTTTTTCTTTTTTGGCTGATGAATGGGACGGAAAATGGTCGGATTCTCTCTAAAGTCCGCTGCTATCAAGTTGTCAGAAAATTCTGACCACACATGGGTAAATTACAGACATATGAATGACTGCCAAAAGCTACACAGGTAATGCAATCGCAGAATCTACAATTCGTCGTTCCAAGATTTCAATATAAAGTCTGGAGTAAAGGACCTGAGAAAAGTATCCATGCATAGGCATTTTGTGGGACTTTTCCCTTATAAATATTTTATCCTGAGTGGTATTCTCAAACTCACCAAGAACATGTGAAGGCTACAAACATTGACGTCGATATGAGTTCACCCCAAGGATGGCTCTTACATTCACGTCCATTGTAGTATATTAGAAGCTTTCCTGATTCCAGAATTGCATCGGAAACATCATGTAGCAGGTATACTACGGATGCCGCCTTTACGTACCTAAAATGTGCGAAAAGTTGCACACATAAATAAAATTGACAATATTCGTCTACTTAAAATGAACAAGTAGGCACTATTTTAAAGCAATAACCTTGCCAAGTAGGAGGAGCCGATTAGGAGGAGAGTTACGATATGGTGGATCATCAGCAGGCCGGTATCCCTCTTCACCGTGTCCAGGAACTGCACCATGTAGACATTGGCAAGGTAGTAACTGAACTGCACCCAGTGTAGTATTAGGATATCAGTTGGCATTGGCTGAGAGAAGTACTGGTCTTAAGGCGGGAGGCGTAGGAACGGTAGAATGGAAATCAAGGAGATAATTATATGTGGTTTAACAAATGTTTTCCATCATCGGGGGCTGCTTGTAAAGCTAAGCACCGACAAAAAAGATGAGGTTTACCACGACCGCTCAATCCTGCTGCGGCCGTGACTTGTCCAAAAAGTCGTTTATAGGTGGAGCAAACTTTCACTGTATCAATGTCACTCGTCCTTCTCATCCGGCTTATGGTTCGATGTCAAAACGAAGCAAGAACGACCGGGGGTGGACGCCGCCGCCGCCGACGAGACTACGCAGCCTGTCTACGCGCGCCACACACAGGTTCTCTCCAAAGTTCACACGTACTTGGTTTTATTGGGGTGGGGGCGGTGTGAGGATCGGATAAGAGGCAAATAAAATCAAATTAAGATGGGAGCGGAGTTAGTCCGTCAACTGGCAATCTTTTGAGGCCCAAGATGCTCGCGCATCGTGATAGTTTTGTGGCGCGACTGCTTGTTAGTAGTAAGAAACAAAACGCTGGAACTGAGCTGGATAGACCTCATACATTCTCTTCCGTCATTTAGTCTGATTAATGTCAACGGGAAGTGAGACTAAACACTGTGGAATATGCAGTATGCAATCTTCGTCTAAAATTGCCCTCCGGATGACACATACACAGGTACAGTCCTAAATGATATTACTTGCCCTACTCTTTACTTACCAAGGTCAATGTTCGAATCAAAGCCAGCGCACGGCTCCTGAAAGAAAACATGCCTCCCACTGAGATATATTGTCTGTACTCCGTAGCAAGTGATGCAGATATAGTAGATGGAACGAAAGAAGCATTCAGGAAATTTTTGGACGTCGCATTCACGAAACTTGGCACGTCGAAGCACTGTCTACAAAGAAATGAAGGAAATGCGGACTCATTTTATTGATTTTAAAGAGAACACAGTATCACCTTTATCGCTCTCCCCCCCCCCTTACCCCGCCCAAATAGGCGCTCCGCACGGAAAGTTTGTGATGAGGAGAAGTTCAGGAAATTGTGGTCTGCCTGCAAGTCCATCAGTTGGCTAGTCGGCACGTCCATGGCTGGGATATAAAGGTACGGTCTCAGTTAAGGCGCTGGCAAAATATGCAAGATGTCGGTCCATGATGCGATAATACCCCCAGGCGCATCTGGACGCCAATCCAGCAAATTAGTTATTTACAATAAAAGTGCAAGCCACAACCATACCATAAAATGGTGAGTCTGACGCCAAAATCAGCCAAAATCATTTTCCTGCAGTTCCGACGTTAGCTGTTACACTGGAAAATAGTTCCTGAGCTAGACAACGTTGGAATACATGACTATTCGCAGTTTCATGAAGAAGAGACCGCTCAGTGTTATGCCCATACCGTGTTTGATTTCTCTCAGGAAATTGTCGAAAGCAGATGAACTGGCCAAAGAGGGCTTATGCAATGGGTATCAAGGTAAACAGGTTTTAGGCCCACCTGATTCCTTTCTTTTACTTTGCAAGGATAGGCCCAGAATCGTGAAAAAATTAGAGTTGACTATCGTCCACGATGGCAGTTTGCTCGCGGTGGACATTTGGTGCCGCGCTCTCCAGTTCTTTCTAAAACCACATCACTGTGCCTCCTATTTGAGTGAGTTTGCAGAGGAAGGGGGGCAAATCCGACTCTCAGTAGATAACTTGGTAACGGCAGGCTCAAGAATCCCAACTACTTGTCGTATATAGAACTAGCTACTATGCTTATTTAAGTTAAACTGATGACGTAGCGATTGCAGTATCATTTAAGCCTTTGCGAGAGCACCTATGTAGGTGTCGTCCAAGCGCTGCAGCAAAAACTCTGCATTCACCACATCCGCACCGTCACCTGCACATGTGCCCTGTGTTCCTCTGAGTAAGGTCAGCGGTGAGGTTTAGCAGCGTCACCTGAACGAGGCCTCACACGGAATTTTTAGAAATCAGATCTGGCCATCAAGATATAAGGGCAGACTCATCCGTCGTGTGTGTGTGTCAGCTGTAAAGCACGCGGTGGCAATAGCCGACACTACCGTTGACCTCCTGACTCACGAATATTTGATTATTGAATACCATGCAGAAAAGAGTAAAAGTATACAACTGGAGACACTCGTTTCCGCTCTGATGCTTCAACCACTAGGCTTTTCTATCCAACTCCAAAGACTGGAGAGCCCTCCGCACAATCCCTGTCATAAGGCACGCAGGTGATATGTGATTTACAGCTAAATGGTTACAAGAAGGTGCATTTTTGTGAATATTTTCTATAAGATATGTTTAAATGTAGAGAAACGTCGAAAATCCTATCAAACAGTCTCACTTAAGTTATTCCCATTCCAAGGAGAAGGTCGACTGGCCATTGCATGCTACCTCAAATTGTGTTCATGAATTTGCATGCACTTGTGGATGCAAGTACATTTGGTGAACGCAAAGACCAGGTCAGTTAAGCACCTGCCTAATGACTTTTAAAGCGGGAAAATAAAATTTCCTCGTTCTTCTAGCGCGAAGCACCTCCCAGATAGCGGTCACTCTGTTGACACCAAAACACCCTTCCGAGTATTAGTTCGCGCACGAACAACTCGTACACTGCACTACTTGAAGGTAGCCTACGCACAGTAGGCGGACGAACTCATGAAATGTCAACCGAAATTCTGAAATGCGTTTTCGTTTCGAAAAGATTAAGCAAGTAGGGTTGTACAACTAGTCAGCCTGCAACATAATTCTATAATATTTCAGTTACATCAGGATGCCTACTTTCGAATGAACTTCCTCCCAGCTGCATTCAAAAACTACACTCTGTAAAAATGACTGCTTGAGTAGCATGAATTTTTCTTATTGATTTTCGATTCCCTTAAAAGTCCAATTATATTTCATGGAAAAAATGTATAAAAAAATTCGTTGCTCATTCGGTAGATAATTGCGTCTTCTTCCAATCTTATACTCAAAGGAAGGGTATAATTCGGCTTTCAAAAACTTTCCCAATTCCTGCATAATTTTGAACCTGCCCTACCGTTACACTTGCATTCACGGTTTCCATACTACAAGCCGTATATTTTCCTCGTACGGAAAACCACACATTTCTCTCCGGTACTAAAGTGGGACTATTTGGGCTTCGTAAAATTTAACAGTGGATTTGATTCATATTGATAACTTCACAAGCCACATTGGTAAACGCAGATACATAACGATTTATGAAAGGCCACTTCACGGTATTTAAAAGTCCCACGATAAGGAATTTTTTAAAACCGAATTATGTCCTTCCTTTGAGTATAAAACTGAAAGAAAACATAATTTTCTATCCAAAGAGCAAAAGAATGAATATTTTTGTGCATATTTTCCATGAAATATAATTGAACATTTAGGGGCGTCGACAATAAATGAGAAAAATTCATGGTACATAAGTAGCCATTTTTTACGGAGTGTAGCTTTTGCATGCAGCAGGAAGAAAATTCATTTGAAAACCGGCATCCTGCGGTAATTTAAATATTATAGCTTTATGTTGCAGGCTGACTAGTTTTAGAACCCTACTTAATCAATCTCTTCTAAACGAAAACGCAATTCGGAATTTTGGTTGGCCTTTCATGGCGGGAGAAACTTGGCCTATACAAACAACTAGACCACGTGGTCAACCTCGACTTGCCCTGGTCAATCTAAGTCCTTTGCGGTACGCACTCCGCTTGCATGCTAAATTTCACATGTTTCTTTCTTTATTATGTTTTTAGGATATCATCTAAACTGGAAAGTCTGTGTGCAGCAAACGATGAGCTTGCTCTTTTACACAGAATTTTCTGTGTAAGTCCAAATGTCTGTATCGTTTTCATTCGGTATCTGTGCTGTGTAACGACAGGTTCCAGATGATAAGATGTCGCGAATTTTACTTGTATCAAATTCTGCCGTGTCTGCCTGTTTCAGGCTCGTACAGGTGAAATAATACATACCCCCAGCTCTTTGGACAAAGCGAAGTCCCAACATAAAACTACATGTCTCTCTTTACTGGCCTGAACCGCCAAATTCCACAGTACAAAATATCGAGGAGACATCCATCGCTGAAAATTACAATCTTACTAATTTCTTCGGTCCGGAACACTCAGGCTTCTAGTCTCCAGAGCCATAAGTTTTTGGAAGCAAGTGAAAAGAATGTAATAAATCCTTTATTTTGAAATCCTGAGGATGCGTCTCTGATGCTTGTGGATGTTTTATTAAATTTTCTGAGATAATTTTGTCAGTCATTATGGGAAAAGGCGAAATTGAGCTGTTCAAAAAAATTATAGAGCCATTTGCTAGGGCACCCCTGATTTCACGCTTGCAAGTAGAAGATCCAGCAGGGGAGTTAACCCGTGAAACTTTAACCAAAATTCTAAAATGCTTCTTCGTTTCAAAAATATTACTAAAGTAGGGTTGTAGAATTAACCATCATGCAGCCTAATTTTAGAATAATTCAACTACCTTGAAATGCCGGCTTTTGGACGATCATCTTCCTGGCCGCATATAAAAACCACACTCTGTGAAAAATGATTACTTAACTAGCCTGCAATTTTTCTCATTGATTTTCGATGCCCCTAAAAATTCAAGTATATTTCATAGAAAACATGCATAAAAATATTCATTCTTTCACCCCATGTTATACTTGAAGGAAGCGTAGAAGTTGGTTTTAAGAAAGTTTCTATTTGTGAGATTTTTAATACCATGAAATGGCCGTTCATAAGACATCATGTGTCTGCATTTGCTAATGTTGTCTGTACAGTTTGCAATAGGACTCAAATTCATCGCTTAATTTTATGAACCCCATATGGTCACCTCTTAATACTGTGAAGAAATGTATGGTTTTCCGCATGCGGAAAATGTACAGTTTGCCGTTTTGAAACCGTGGATCCAAGTGTAAAGGCAGTTCGTGCTTTATATTATTCGGGAATAGGGAAAGTTTTTGGAAACCGGATTATACTTTTCCTTCTAGTATAAAACTGGAAGAAGACGTATTTTATACCGAATGAGCAAAAGAATGAATATCAATAGTAGTGAAAATCCGATTCCCAGGTGGCATATCAAAAGAAGAGGGGGCGTTCACCGGGAGGGGTTTATTTGAGATCCGACGTTTCGGGTAGTTTATTCGTCTACCCATCTTCAGGGACTGGGAGGTCCTGTACACAGCACTCCTTATTATGGCGCCCTTTGTCCAATGCGTGATCCGCCAATGCCGCCTGTGTGGCTGCATCCAACCCGCATGTCACCGTGACCTGAATCGCCCCCGTCGGCCGCGGTGATGACTGACGGCCCCGATTGTCCCGCGCCGTGACTGTCCCCCGCTAAGAAGGTTCGTAAAGTCAGATAAGGGGGAGGCAAATTGATGTGGCGGTTGACAGAGCGGTCGGTGGACATCCAGGCTTCTTGCACTTGCCTTGCTGTGTGATCGCTGCCCCGGCCCACAATCTCAACGGCGTCAAGGTTGAAGATGTGTCCCATTTGCGCGGCATGGGTTGCTACCTCCGACTTTGGGTCCAACCTTCGCACGGCCAACTTATGCTCGTGCATTCGCGTTTGCAGTCGTCGCCCGATTTCTCCAACGTAGTTGCAACTTCCGCAGCTGCATTGAAGTCGGTAGACAACGGCCGACATCTTCTGCTTAGGGATCGGATCTTTCGGCCGCATCACTTGCCGGCGGATTGTTGAGTCAGGCCTGTGGGCAACACCTATTCCGAGTGGCGCGAGTGATCGAGCCACGACTTCGGACACCCCTTTAATGTACGGAATGCTCCGCCATGAGTTTGGCTGACTATGCTCCTCGTTCCGTTTCTTTGGCTGCCTCCGGCTTCGTTCAATGAATGCCCGCGGATAGCCATTGGCTCTGAAAAGTTCTCGGAGGAGCTTTATCTCATCCAGTTTGACGGCTGGCGTGCTGCAATGAGTTTCCATCCGTCGGTACAGCGTGCGGACACAGCTTCGTTTGTGTTGTGGCGGGTGGTTGCTGTTGTAGCTGAGAATTTGCAGCCTGTTCGTCGGTTTTCCTCAACTTTGACGCCGTTGAGATTGTGGGCCGGGGCAGCGATCGCACAGCAAGGCAAGTGCAAGAAGCCTGGATGTCCACCGACCGCTCTGTCAACCGCCACATCAATTTGCCTCCCCCTTATCTGACTTTACGAACCTTCTTAGCGGAGGACAGTCACGGCGCGGGACAATCGGGGCCGTCAGTCATCACCGCGGCCGACGGGGGCGATTCAGGTCACGGTGACATGCGGGTTGGATGCAGCCACACAGGCGGCATTGGCGGATCACGCATTGGACAAAGGGCGCCATAATAAGGAGTGCTGTGCACAGGACCTCCCAGTCCCTGAAGATGGGTAGACGAATAAACTACCCGAAACGTCGGATCTCAAATAAAAGAATGAATATTTTTATGCATGTTTTCTATTCAATATAATAGAATTTTTAAGGGAATTGAAAATTAATGAGAAAAATTCATGCTACTTAAGTGATCATTTTTCACAGAGTGTGGTTTTTGTATGTTGCCAGGAAGAAGTTCGTTCGAAAACGAGCATCTCGGGTAGCTGAATTAATATAAAATTATGTTGCATGATGATTAATTTCACAATCCTATTTAAGTAATCCTTTTGAAACGAAAACGCATTGAGGAATTTAAGTTAACATTTCATGAGTTAGCGCACCCATTGTCGGTGTCTTGAAAGTTATAAACAATAATGGCGCTATTGATCTCTGGAAGGATATAACAGAGCATTCCCACTTCCCCAACCAATGAGGAGCCCTTTTGGATATAGTCAGCGTATCCGCCCGACCCTCAGTCTTTATTCATTGGGTGTTTTCGATCGACCAAGAGTATAGTCTTATGTAGTTTTGACTGCAATTAAGATTAATGAACTCCCCTTCTGCTCTTATAAGTGATCGTAACTCACTATTCGAATGGGGCACGATGGCATTAAGGTTCCAGGATTGGTTTTGAAGCCTAAACAACCGACAGTAATCATGCTACCTGTTCCGTTAGCATGTTTGTGGCCCTCAGATTAGTGCATATTATAATCCACTCCGTCCTGGTTCACCTGCAAACTGCACTGTCTATGCTAGACTCTGATACGAACACTTGTATGTAGGCTTTCTTTGGGCCTGCATTCTCTATGCTTGCTTCTTGCTCCTACGATAGACGCTCTCTTATACAGGTAATATCATGTTAGTCTTTTGTTGGATTCTTATCGCCCTTAACAGTCCAAATATGGAAGCGATAGAATCTACTTCCAAAGGCTCCCGTCTGCTTTCCACTTTTCTGAAAAGACTGGTATTTATAGACAACGCAATGTTACCTTTCATGTTTTCAATTCTCTTAAAGTTGTTCTTTAATAGCATAGATAGTTGGTCCATGTATTGATGTATGTTTGCGAGCGATTAACAACCATTCGTAAATTCCAAATCCTTTCTTCAGGTAGGTCACCTACTGTAGTCTTCACCACAAGCCCAAGCTGTAAAGGACTGTTTATAACTTCGTCAGAAAGTCAAACACAACGAAATGGGTCCTTAAACTTTAGCCCGTACTAGTTCATTACCATCTTTTAAGGATCAGACCGTTTTCCAATAAAAAGTTCATCTGGATATACCGTATGCGATACCGGCAGTATGTTATTACCGACAAAGACAAGGGAGACTGGAATGGCCATTTCTGGCTTATTAGCCGTCGTCAGCCAGCTATACCCAAGCCCGAAGTGTGGAACACCCGAGCCTCGAACTCGCGACCTGTTGGTTTAGAAGTCCACGCCTCTAACCACTGGGCCACAAGACCGTTGCCCTGTCGGTTTCGATCGGGAATATACAATGGTAGGGGGCGCTCACCGATCGTTCTTACGAAACTCACTCGTTTCGTTATGCCTTACGGGCTCTCGCTCTCGAGTCCAACCAGCAGCCGCACAGCGGCGTATGATATAGGCAGTATGTTATTACCAAAAGGGGCTCTAGAGGCGTGGACCTCTTAGTAACAGGTTTCGAGTTCGAGCCTCGAGTGTTCCACACTTCGGGGTTGGGTATGACTGGCTGACGATGGCTACTAAGCCAGAAATGGCCATTCCAATCTCCCTTGTCTTTGTCGGTAATATCATTCTGCCTATGTCACGCGCCGCTGTGTGCCTGCTGGTTGAGCTCGAGAGAGAGAGAGAGCGAGAGCTCGTAAGGCACAACGGAACGAGTGAGTACCGTAAGAACGATCGGTGAGCGTCCCCTACCATTGTATGCGATACGCCCTGGGACGTGAACTATCTTGTTGAGGGTTGATAATTTAAAACGGATACATAACAGAGCAAGAGGTGAAATTGAGAATCATTTATATAGCAAATCAGTCGCGAAGACCATCTAAATGGATCTCTATGTCTCCGTTGAGGGGAGGCGTACTTTTCATTCCAAACATTAAAAATGCTGTTTCCTCCCGAGTACGGTAGCATATGCATGGAAGCAGGACTCGCAGTTGCGAAAGGGCACACTCCACTCGTCTTTGTTTTCCGTTAAGACTGGGCATCTCTTTACCCAGATGACCTAGACTTCAGTCTGAATTGGGAGCCCACGTGCCCTACTTAATTGGCGAGGGCCCAAGCCTTGTTGTGAATACGGCCCATACCTAGCGCGTTGTATTTAAATGCTCAGACGTTCGCATGTTCGCCTTCCTTGCCTGTCAATCTCAGGCATGTTCGCGAGGCCAGCCAACCACGCTTGAAGTGGACATTTGCTCTCACCCCCTGGACACTTGCAAGCCGTTAACCTGCCTACTGGCCGCTCGCGTTCCAGTCAAGCTTTTTCAGGCTTCTGTACGGAATAATGTCTTTCTCTTGGTGTCCTTAGTATCCTCCTACTAAATGTAACTTGAGTTGAGGACGTAGCGGTTTAGGCAAGACCATTACTGCCGATAGCAGCGAAGAGACGAGTCCCAGGAAGCAGTCGCGAAGAAGGATACACTATCAATGGGGCAAGAGTTTTATTCGTCTGTCGTTTCGACTTCCTGCTTGAACTCATCATCAGCGACAAAAGCAGATACGAGTGGTTCATGCATAAGGGGTTGCAGTATTTATAGAATGCAGTCGCTATGCTACCGCCGCTCCCCCCCCCCCTTCATCAGGGATCGTTACACTTGGTATGATGACTGTTTGATGTTCGACTTTCGCGTCGTTTATTGCTGCAACTTCACGTGTGTTAAATGTTGGTGTGATGATTGCTCGACCATCTGACACACCGACCATAACGTTGGGAACAGTGTTCACCAGTGGATAATTACTTTACCTAGGCGAAGTCTCAGCACTAAGTTTGGAAGGGGAAGGTCGTTGCACTTGTCATTCGACGAGATCAGGCCACACATGTTTAATTCGACGAGGCCGAAATTCTCGCAAGAAGTAACAACCGCGCGAGCCGCAAGCTGGTTGAGTCATGATTCACTGACCCCCGGTCCATTAACAAGTGCAACGACCTTCCTCTTCCATACTCAGTGCTGAAAGTTCGCCTAGGCGGAGTAATTAGCCACGCGGGGAGCGCAATGCCAACGTCAGGGTCGGTGGGTCAGATGGTCGAGCAATCATCACACCAATATTTAGCACACGTGATGAAATTGCAGCAATTAACGACGCGAATGTCGGCCATCAAATAGTTATCACACCAAGTGCAATGATCCTTGATGATGGGTGGGAGCCGTGAATATTCATAGGTATGTGGTAGCATGGCGACTGCATTCTATAAATACTGCAGCCCCTTGTGCGTGAACCATCCGCATCTGCTTTTGTCTCTGATGATGAGTTGGAGCAGAAATCCGAAACGTCAGGCGAATAAACCTCTTGTCTCAGTGATCGTATCTCCTTCTTCACGCGTTTATCGAGCCACCTTCTGAACAGAAACAAGTGCCTATCATTGGAAATGCGGTCTGAGTACCCCGGTAAGCGATATGAGTTGCTATCATCGTTTACAGCACCGTCGTCAAGGTCATTCCGTTCGAGTCCCAGATGACATGATTGGATTGGTTGGGATGAGTGCTCCCTGATTTGGCTGTTTTTTTCACAGGATTCCCCCATCAAACGGTAGGAGATGCGAAGAAGCGAGCGCCTAACAGGTTGCCAAATGACCAAGTAAGCAAATACCAAAGATAAACCGACAGAGACGACGAAAACCGAGACACCAGTCATATTGTGCAGAAAGATCACGCAAATGGCGTGCGCGTTTATGCGTACCGATCTGGTGGCCAATCATAAATGCTGGTTGGCGTAGTGCTTTAAGGACCATAAAATGCAGTAGTCCCGAAATCGGTTGCCTTCTCAGTTATCGCCGTCTTTGCCGATCTGCCTCAGGCCTCTGCACTCATGTATACCGCTCAATGATCGTTGTAAAGCAAAGAGAAAGTCAGCGATTTGTAAAAGGTCCAGTTATGCTGTCCTTCGAAAGCTACCAGTCCTGCTATCACGGTGGAAGTGGAGGCAAGGGGGCATCGCGTATTTTTGATAGATGTGTTTTGATTAGGTCAAATGCTGTAGGCTTCGTGGAACACAAGTCGCTTTCTTCGGCACCGGACCGCCTGGAGGGCTGTATGTTCATCAAATGAGAAGACCTAAGGACAAGTGCTGGAAGACCAGCCCGATAAGGCATGTGCGAAAAACACTTGTTCGGTTGGGATCAGGATGGTTTGGTAAATGCTATGGGCAGGACAATAGAAAGCGGAATGGCCATTTCCAACCTGTCCCTGGCCGTCAGACATCCATACTCCACACTCTCTATAACACCTGTCTACTTCTTGTCTGGCGCCCTCAAAAAATTTCCAAGTTCACATGAGTAACCAATGACGACGAATAGGCTGGAGACTGACATTTGCCTCTCGATATTAATGGGCTAAGGAGAATTCACGCACACTTAACATCCTGCGACCCGTTATGTCCATGACAGGAATGAAGCACCGGGTAACGGTGGATTATTTCTCAAAGACTCCCCCGGCAAGGGACACACGATACTCGACTAATGATTAGGATCGAAATCATTTAACGTCTTACTAAAAGAAATGAATAAGAGAAAAGGACAACGGCTGGGGCAGAGAGGCAATGACTGTTTCTCAAATTCAGTTCGATTAACTGCACAGAACTCTTAGTTGACGCCGGTGGCCTAACCGATCGGGTATCAGTGGCACGAATATTAGCTAAGGAAGTCTAATAGTCTATGAAATTACTTAACAGGCGGTGGGACCAGAATTGTGTGGTCGCATGCCAATGGAAAGAAGTGGAGGATACACAGTGAGACAATAAACAGATGCGTACTGGTTTGTCGATTATGATCAAGCACCTTCGTTCACTGCAAATGCAGATGCTGGATTTAGGTTCTACTTGTATCGGTACAGTGGCAAAAACACACTTTTTAGCACAACAACTTTTGTTCTAATTAATAAATTTGTTACGGTGGACATTTGCAGTTGAATAGTCTTTCCCTACTCCGTGGTGGATTTGACGACTTTTCTGTTTAGACGCACGAAATCGCACACTATCATTATATATGCATATATGTCATGTAAACGTTTGACCCTCACTGTTGTAGTTAGGATCTCACTCGATCCCATTCTGCCCGCCCTCCGGCTTGCTACTGACGACAACGAACGTTGTGTCATTAGGAAATCCTGCTTGGGCAGTCAACTTACTGTATCAGATTTGGTGGATTCCAGACGTTGCAGTAGGTTGGGCGGGTAACTTGACCCAAGTATGATAAAACTCACGTCGTCCGGCGGGGCCTCGTAGCTCAGGTGGTTAGAGCGTTGGCTGTACTAAAGCCTTCCCCCTTACTGCGTGGGTTCGAATCCCACCGAGGCGCCGAGTTTTTTACAGTTGGGTCAATATGAATTATTCAAAATCTGCCAAAATATCAATGAATTCATAGAAAGCTTGTGTATGCTCGCCAAATTGTCTTTTGAATTCTTCAATGGGAATCTTCGCAATTCTACAACCAGTTTGTCACGCTGGTAATACCCACATGCGCTTCCCCAAAACCGACTTGTAGGTGACTGTCCAATCACGTTGTTAGTGGAATCTCAGTGGAGTATGCCTGTGTGTTCGAATAAGTTTCGACACCTCTGTAACAGACCTCACGAAATGCCCCCCCCCCCCCCCTAGTATCGTAATGGTTGTTTCCAGTAAGCATCTTGCGGACAGTGTTGACTATACCAAAATACAAACTCCCTCTCAACTTAAAGCGTGCATAAACACGCAAAGAGAGCACCATTTGGGACACTTACCCTGAGAATAGGGTCGACGATGATGCGGAAGAGGATGAAGGAGAGTGTCATCGCCAGAATGAGGCAGACTTGGAAGAAGCTGGGCAGACCGTCCGTGAACATGCGCACGGTGAATTCATGGTCGTAGGGATACTTCTCCCAGTTGAAGGCCAACTCCCGCACTGCTATGTACGTTTGCCGCAGGAAGTTGGCCACCGTGGGCAGAGCAGCTTGCCTTCGGTACTCGCTGTCCTCAATGGTATCGGCCAGAGTGGCCTGCACTCCGGACATGGCGAGCACAGTGCTGCTGCCGGTGGTTAGAACTGTCCAGAACAGAGCACCGGCCATTTTGCAGCCTTTTAGGGGAGAGAAATGGAGGGGAAGGTCAGTACGTGCCCATTAAGGGGAAGTTGGGATAAATGTCTGAGCAACCACCAGTCACCGAACGTCCCTCCGCCTCCAGAGACAGACTCGCGTGAGCGACTGTGGCTATGACGACCAGGAGGTAAACACGCGAACGCAGACACGACAAACATGACACGTGACAAGTGGCCAATGAGAGTGAAGAATTGCGCGGACGAACGTGCTTTGCTCGCTTGACCGTCTATCGAACGCGCGAGCTGTTGGCATTTGTTTGCAATGATCCGAGGCAGGTTGAAAATACCGTTTGGAAGATAAGGCGGCCACACCATTGTTCGATCGTCGCATTCGACGATGTCCGCCGTGTGCTCCACCGCGCGAGACGAACAGAAATTTATAAAATCGTGCAAATATGACTTATAAACATTTTCCTGGCATTTTATGACCTCGATTTTATGGTCAAGCTGTAAGAAAATGCGTATCGCGGCATGACAGAAATGTAACGAGACTATAAATGAAAACTGTGTCAATCTGAAAAAACTCTTTCGCTTCCTTGTAACAAATAGGGA